AAGATAAAAAAAATCCAATATAAAAAAATTAAGTCAAACATTTATTCTGTGTCTTTTTACAAAGCATTCTGTTGCAGCTGAATAACATGAGCAAAAATCAGCAGCCTACAGAACCCCTAAACCCCCTGGTTTACACTTCTGTTAGAATGGCACTTTTTATGTAATACTACAGTAAGCACAGCTGTTCAGAAGGTGTGGGCATGCTTTCTTCTCACAAAAAGAGTGTGAAACATTAACATGAGTTATAGAGTTTTCAGATTTTAAATATACCTATAATTTAAGTTTATTTTACACACTTTAAGCATTATTGAATTGCATATCGAATTATTTAACAAGTTATCGAATTCGCATAATGCATTTTTCTTCAATTTCGTGTAGCCCTAGGTTTTGGCATACAAAAATACAGTCAACGTTGTTGAAAAAACAACAACAAAGAAAAAACATACCTGAAAGTGGAGTTTGTGGGAGAAGAGCCAACTAGATCTGTATAGATCATGGTGGCCTCCATACAAAGACCGGTTGCCGACGAGTGGATGATGGAGGGACCACAACCAAACATCGGGACAGAATTCTGCATCAGGTCAGGTAAGCAGAATAAATTGCACTGTAAATAAACATTATTAAAACAAATGGTAAAGTCACTAGTCAAAGTAGTTTATTAGTTTAATCCCTATAAATCAAAGCAGTTTATAACTATATGACATTATCACACATAAAGGCTCTTAAATCTTGAGAGTGTCTTTTTATTTATTAGCATGTTATGATGAATCTGGCAAATCAGAGATGCAGGATGCTAGTTTTTATTTATTTTTAAAGAATTATCCCTTTAATGTCTTCATTAAGAAATATTCAAGAAAATGCCCCTTTCATAGCAAAAGGCAATAAATATTATTATTATTCTGAATAATATGCTCTATATTGCACAAGGCTTAGTGAATAACTTTCTTAATAATTTGCACATGCTTTGATGTCTTTAGGTCACATGGGTTTGGAATTTAATGGATCTATAGCAGGGTTCCTCAAATCTTGTCCTGGAGGGCCAATGCGCTGCAGAGTTTTGCTCCAACCCAGATCAAACTCACCTACCTGTGATTTTCTAATGATCCTGGAGACATTGATTAGCATGCTCAGGTGTGTTTGATTAGGGTTAGAGCTAAACTCTGCAGGAAAGTGGATCTCGTGGGCCAGATTTGAGGATCCCTGATCTATAGTATTGCATACATTTAAATTTCTAACATTATTATAAAACATAAAAATACATTCATTTAATTAAGAATTTTGCTATGCATTTACGTGTATCTGAGTTGATTTGGGATCAAATGTTATCAGAGGCGGACAGTAACTAAGTACATTTAATTGAGTATTGTATTTAAGTACACTTTTTGAGTATCGGTACTTTACTTGAGTATTATTTTTTCTGGGAACTTATGACTTTAACTTCACTACATTTGAAAGACAAATATTGTACTTTTCACTCCACTACATTTCTATCAAGGTCCTCGAAGTAGAAAGTCGTTACTATGTAGCAGCTTTGAAAGTCAGTGGGGGATTTTTTTTCTTCTCGGTGGGTAGGGGTGTTAAATATTTATTTATTTATTTATTTATATATATATATATTTATTTATTTATGTTTTGTTTTTTTCCCCATAGGTTTTTAACATTCTAAAAGCTCTTTATTTCAAAGATACTACAAGCTAGTCAGTGTATTCAGTAGGTTTAATGTATTGTAAGTTGCTTCAGAAGTATTGCAAGTATTACATACAACAATAAAACAGTGCATTGACATAAAAAAGGAAATTTACTTTTGGTACTTAAGTACTTTTAAAAGCAAGTACTTCTGTACTTTTACTTAAGTAAAAATCTGTCTTTACAAATTTGACTTGTAATGGAGTAATATTTGACCAGCGGTATCTGTACTTTCACTCAAGTAATGGAGTTGAGTACTTTGTCCGCCTCTGAATGTTATGTCTGTTGCTAACTTTAACATAGGCTATGCACCGCGGTTGGTTGCAAAACGCGGTGCTTCAACATATGGTCTTGTAAAACGGTTTAAAATTAGTTCACAATTAAAAATGTTACAACAATCCCACCAATGCCAAACATACTATCATAAAACCATACATTTCCACCTATCATACTATGCTTACCTCTCAAACATCAATGTATCATACACAGTGATTTATAATGATGCTCTGCTCTGCTGCTCACCGAGACGCGCCCCCCCCACCCACGGGTGTCAACTCTCGTGAGACAATTAAGCAACCGCAGCTTCAAAAACAAGCCCAATATTATTCAATTATTTATTATCATCAATATTATTTATTATCACTTATTTATTACCAATAAATGATCCTGCAACATATTAAACTGAAACCACAATTTTATTTAAAAAAGCAAAAACAGAAACACAAAAATCAGCAATCAAAGTGGGATGGTTTGCACTATCCACTCATCTCCGATCGCTTGAGAAGAATAGAATTGGAGAGATGGAAAAGGAGAAAAAGACAAGCGCTTTAAGGGGGAGCTGTGACATATAGCCACATATTAATAGCCAAAGTAAATATATTCAAACCACATGTATCTACTGTTATGATCAGTATAGGCCTCCTACTTTTTCATTATAGCCTGTGATAATGAATACATTTCAAAAACATTGTAAAAATAAATAAATAAATTACCTTAAAGGGGTCATATAATGTTGCTAAAAAGAACATTATTTTGTGTATTTGGTGTAATGAAATGTGTTTATGCGGTTTAAGGTTAAAAAAACACATTATTTTCCACACACTGTACATTATTGTTTCTCCTCTATGCCCCGCCTTTCTGAAACGCGTCGATTTTTACAAAGCTCATCGTTCTGAAAAGCGAGGTGTGCTGTGATTGGCCAGCTCATCGTTCTGAAAAGCAAGGTGTGCTGTGATTGGCCAGCTATCCAGTGCATTGTGATTGGCCGAATACCTCAAGCGTGTGACGGAAATGTTACGCCCCTACTATACTGTGATACCCTGTCTGGCCGGAGCGATGAGACAAAAACATTCAAACCCATTATAACCGAGGCATTTGTTGCATCCAGTGGGACATAATTACGGATTATAATGACTTATACTGTCTTTTTACGC